GCTCGTCAGGACTGGCTGCAGTTGTCCGTGCCCGGGAGTAGCGCCACCTCTCCAGGGTCGAGCTTGTCTCCCTCTTGGCCATCTCTAGCCCTCCAGGAGCAGCAGTCCCTCTCACCGCAGTCTCTGAGTCTGTGCCTAGTGGGCTCACTTAATTATGCACCCCTCCCCCCCAAACTGTGACTCCTTAACCACAGGTTTCATCTTTCAAAGTCGATTTCTCTTCAGCATCTGCCCAGCCAACTTTTCCCTCCTTGTCATGTTAATTAGGTCATTTACTTTATGAATTTTTATTTATTGAACTATATAGAAAGTATTCTAAGAGACATCTGTTATTGGGCTTGCTTGGCAGGTGTTTGAGTTACTGTTACTTATAAGGAAAGTCTTTAGTTTTTAAAATAGGTGAGCAATGCATACATCTCATCTCTAACACTACCCTCTCCGATTCTAAACACGTTGACTTAACACGATGTACTTTTTTAAAGATTTATTTATTTATTAGAAAGTCAGAGTTACACAGAGAGAAGAGAGGCAGAGAGAGAGAGAGAGGGAGAGGGAGAGAGAGAGACAGAGAGAGGTCCTCCATCCGATGGTTCTCTCCCCAATTGGCCTCAACAGCCGGAGCTGCACCCATCCGAAGCCAGGAGCCAGGAGCTTCTTCCCAGTCTCCCACACGGGTGCAGGGGCCCAAGGGCTTGAGCCATCACCCAACCCTTTCCCAGGCCACAGCAGAGAGCTGGATTTGATCAGAAGTGGAGCAGCCCGAACTTGAACCAACACCCGTATGGGATGCCTGCGCTTCAGGCCAGGGCGTTAACCCGCTGCGCTACAGCGCTGGCCCCCGATGTACTTCTTTCCTGTGTTTTGCTTCACTTGCACGCCCTGGAGATAGGACACACGGTGCCGTGGTGCCCTCCACCAGGGCTCAGACTCACCGAGTTGGTCACCTGCAGGCAGATTCTGGCCCACTTGTGACGTGGGTGCAGCCGGGACACTGTAAGGAAGCGGGTACTGCTTCACACGGAAACGGTGAAACGTGCTGACCTGGATATCTGCAAGATGCGTCACTTACACTTCTGTGCTAGCGGGAAACACGACTGTGTCCGGCTCCACGGGCAGGAGGCCTGCTGACTGGCTAGCTGCTCCTTGGCTTCTCGCTGACTCTAGGCCAACTACGTATTCCTTTCTGTATTTGTAAGTTCATCATGGGATATGTTACCATCAGAGTTGGAATTTTTTTAAGATGATTTAGGCAACCTTCTTTTGTTAAAAAAAATTATTTTTTCTTTGAAAGGTAGAGCGGGAGAGCCCTGTCACTCACTGGTTCATTTCCCAAATGCCCCCAACAACCACGGCTGGACCTGGCAGAAGCCAGGAACTCCGTTCCGGTCTCCCACGTGGGGGGCAGGTCCCCAAGCACTTGAGCTATCACCGCTGCCTCCCAGAGCCTGCCCTGCAGGGAGCTGGACCAGAGGAGGAGCTGAGAACGGAACCAGGCACTCCAGTGTGGGGTCCCAACCTCTGTATTAACTGCTGCGCCAAACGCCTCCCCTCAGGTTTGTTTGTTTTTAAAGATTTATTTATTTGAAAGGCACAGTTATGGGAGACACACACACACTCACAGGGGGATGGGAGAGGGGAGAGAGAGTGATTGATTTGAGTGACTGACTCCCAAAGGGCTGGGACTAGGCCAGGGTGAAACAGGACCCAGGAATTGCAGCCAGGTCTCCCAGGCGGGTGCGGGGCCCACGTACTTGGCCCATCACCTGCTGCCTTCCCAGGTGCATTAGAGGAAGTAGGGTTGGAAGCCGAGCAGCCCGGACTCGATGCTGTGTAGGGATGTTGGCGTCACAAGTGGTGGCTTAAATTGCTGCACACACCAGCCCAGAGTTTGAAATTTTATGTGGGGAGAATAGACAAACAGGAGCCCAGCACTTGCGCATGAGTACAACTTTGTCTTCAGAAGGAACTGTTCTTGTTAAAGATGTACATGAACATGATCAACTAAAATCAGGCGGGTCCAGAGGTCTCACGGTGAAAACGCCTGCACCGGCTCTGCCCCCAGCCTCGGCGGTGCTCTCCAGGGCGGGCGTGTTGGCTCTGAGTGTCCCCGCCACCCCTTCATCCCAAGTTCATTTCCTGCCCCAGTTCCCAGGTGGATGCGTGCATGACTACCTGTAATTTCAGTTCCTTAAAGCTTATAAAAGACCCGTCCCAGCAGTGCCCTCCCCACCTCCCAAAACAGCAGTGCCTCTGGACGCTCACCGGTTTCTGCTGTTTCTCCCTTGAAGATCTTGTCGTTTCTGGACTTAATTTTTTTTTTTTTTTGACAGGCAGAGTGGACAGTGAGAGAGAGAGACCGAGAGAAAGAAAGGTCTTCCTTTGCCGTTGGTTCACCCTCCAATGGCCGCCGTGGCCGGCATGCTGTGGCCGGCACACCACGCTGATCCGAAGGCAGGAGCCAGGTGCTTCTCCTGGTCTCCCATGGGGTGTGGGGCCCAAGCACTTGGGCCATCCTCCACTGCACTCCCGGGCCACAGCAGAGAGCTGGCCTGGAAGAGGGGCAACCGGGACTAGAATCCGGTGCCCCGACCAGGACTAGAACCCGGTGTGCTGGCACCGCTAGGTGGTGGATTAGCCTGTTGAGCCGCGGCGCCGGCCTGGACTTAATGTTTCTAATCATTATATAGTGACTTCCAGCATTGTGAGGGCAGGTGAGAATTTAGCTCCTATGCTACCACTGTCCTCTCTTTTCCTCCATATTTGTCCTAGAATAATCAGGTGTCAAGGCTAGGCGGCCGTCACATCATTGTGACTGTGTACGGAGATGTAGGACATACTCGCCGTTTAAAGGTTAAGCTGTTCCTTCCTTAGACTCCTGACCTCCCCAGAATCGCGTAAGCCCACCCCACCCTGGTTTTTAGCATGCGCTTCGTCTTTGATCACTTCTTTCCAGACGATCCAGGCCTGTCAACTTCCATTCCTACTTTGCTGTTTTCCAAGCCAACTACAGAGCTGGAACACTGCGTGTCTTGAAGCCCACTTCCTGGGTCCCAGGCCATCCGTTTTGGATTTGTTTGCTTCCTCATTTTCCTGGGGCATTTCCTCCAGTAGCTTTCCAAAAAGGGCCCATGGCAGTAACCTGTCTCTGGGTGGCTGAAAACGTCACTGTTCTACTTCACTCTTGACTGGTCACGTGGCTGAGAATGGATTTGTCAGTTGCGAGCAAGGTTCTGCCTAGGATTCGTTGCAGATTCTCACTATGCCCAACTACCACTGTGTCCAAGCTGCCATCATCTTTCAACTGAATTTTGAATTGGTTGATTTCAGTATTTTTAAAAATTATAAAATACCCCAAGTAAACCAAGTGTGGCTTTACAGTTTTGACTGCTTGAGAAGCTCGGACATCTCACATACATAAACGTAGGGAATGACTTGGGTGTTGTTTGCTGTTCTGTGCACTCACGGCTTCGCGCTGCACACCCTGGGCTCTGGCAGGTGGCGTGTGTTCAGCCTACACCAGGGGCAGGGCCTTATGCCACCAGTGACCTGGGGAGACTCGGGCGTTACGTCACCAGGGACCTGGGGAGACCCGGGCCTTGCGCCGCCAGTGACCTGGGGAGACGCGGGCCTTACGCCGCCGGGGACCTGGGGAGACCCGGGCCTTACGCCGCCGGGGACCTGGGGAGACCCGGGCCTTACGCCGCCAGGGACCTGGGGAGACCCGGGCCTTGCATCACCAGGGACCTGGGGAGACCCGGGCCTTACGTCGCCAGGGACCTGGGGAGACCCGGGCCTTGCATCACCAGGGACCTGGGGAGACCTAATACTGTGCTGTCTCCCCTCCGTGTCCCGGGCTGCTCGGCGGGTTTGAGCTTGCTGCCCAAGGGAGCCTGTCCCAGCTTTCCCGCTCCCTCTGCCTCACTTCCCCACACCCCCGTGGCGCCTGCCAGTCGTCTCCTAGCACTGCACAGCCCTGCCTGTGCCGCTCGGCCACTCGACCCTGCCCTTCTCTGTCGGCTTCGTTCTCTTCCTGACCTCGTGGTTCTGCAGTTTCCACGTTCTCGTGGCGGCGACAGCACTGCCTCCTGGTGGTTCGCAGATCTGCGTGGGGGTGACTCCTGCTCTTCTGCACGGTGTTCTCCCTCACAGGAGACTTCAGGAAACTCCTTTTCACCCGGATGCGCTGCGTCCTTTTTTTTTTTTTTTTTAAGATTTACTTATTTATTGAAAGTTGGAGTTACACAGAGAATGAGAGGCAGAGTGATCTTCCATCCGCTGCTTCACTTCCCAGTTGGCTGCACCAGCCAGAGCTGTGCTGATCCTAAGCCAGGAGTTTCTTCCAGGTCTCCCACATGGGTGCAGGGGCTCAAGGACTTGGGCCATCTTCTACTGCTTTCCCAGGCCACAGCAGAGAGCTGGATGGGAAGTGGAGCAGCCAGGACTCGAACCGGCGCCCATATGGGATGCTGGCACTGCAGGTGGTGCCTTTACTCGCTAAGCCACAGTGCTGGCCCTGCATCCTTATTTTATTGCTGAACCTAAGGATTCAGTATATTGTCTTGAATAGTTTTTCATAAAAATTAACACATAACGGTTCAAAGAAACCCAATCAGGTTGCACATAGCTAATACAACAAATAACCCTGGCAACTCTGAGCTGTGAACAGTCTGCAGCATACTTTTTGCCTACACACATTATTTAAAAGTTTGGGCTATTATACGTAATTTGTTTAGCAGCCTTTGGCATTTCTGTTAGTGCCTCATTCTTCTAACTGCTGCAGGATATTACATTCTATAGACATGTTTTTATTTATAGTCGTGTCTTTACTGATTGACATTTGGGTATTTCCAAGTTAAAGAGAGTACTGTAACAAATATTCTTAGAGCCATCCTTTGTTCAGGATTCACTTCCAGAAGTGAGCCCAGAATATTCTGAAATCAGACTGACATTGCTTTCTCATACTCTAAAGGTTGTGTCAATTTTCAAGGCACAAAATGGGATTTCTTTTAAAAATTATAAATTTATTTGAAAGGTAGAGCAACAGAGACAGAAGGAGAGGCAGACAGAGAGAGTGAGAGATGTCCCATGTACTGGCTCACTCCCCACATGGCTGAAGCCAAGATCCAGGAACTCCATCCGGGTCTCCCGTGTGGGTGGCAGGGTCTCGAGCCCCTGGGCCATCCTCTGCTGCCTTCCCAGGCACATCAGCAGGGAGCTGGATCGGAAGTGGAGCAGCCGGACTCGAGCTGGCACTCGGATCCGGAATGCCAAGTAGTGGCTTCCCCCACTGCACCAAACACTGGCCACAGAACACGAGATTTCTTTACCTATCTAATGACCTACATTTTTGCTAATGTGATAGGTAAAACAAGTTTTAATTTTCACTTTTCAGGTTCGGGAAGTGTGGTTACTAATTTACTAGTTTTGGTTTCTGGAACAGCCATTCTCATTTCATTCTCTCTGCATTCTTAATGCTGGCTCCCGGGCTTGTAACTGGGTTACTTTCTTGGAGAGAGCAGCCTGTTCTGGTTCTATCCCTGCGTCTCCCCAAACATCAGAAACAGCCATCCTAAGGCCTCAGCCCTTTCCTTCTCTCACCCAGCAAAAAGGCGCGGTGGCTTCCTTGCCACGCCCGCGGGACCCACAGGGTTCTCAGTACTGACTCCCCGAGTGAGCAGAACTCCGCTCAGACGGACAAGGTGCCCAGAGTAATCCCAGCTCCTATTCCGATCTGCTTTTCTGGTAAAATCTCAGCTGCAGTTCTTCTCTTTATAACGCGTTTCTGCCCACTGGGCCAATCTGTCTGGGTGCCACGTCTGTGATCCCTGGTGTCAACTAGGCTCCCGGGAGACTCCCGCTCTGGGCTCGCTTGCCCTAGGCAGGTGTGTGGGGGAGGCGCTGAGGCAGGTGGGGCAAGGAATGGTCCAGTCCCCTAAGTGGGGGATGAAGACACACGATTTAGAAGCAATGCTCCCCGGGCCTAAAGTCAACAACAACAGTCTGTTTCCCAATGTCCAAATCTGTAACTTTCAGAGGGAGGGGTAGGACTGGAGATAAGCCAGCAAACGCCTTTGTATTAATCGTTCTTTTCATAAACTTCAAATTTGTACTTGATGCCTTTCTCCTCCTGGACATCAGAAAGGACGCCTGGGTACCTGGAGAAGGAAGATACACGTGGTCAGTGTACCCGTCAGGCCCGCAGCTCCCTGGACGCCCAGACAGAAGGCACCAGGTCTGTGCCGAGCTGCCGCTGGGCTGAGTAAAATCCTACACATACACTCAGGTGGGGAAGTGGTTAGAAAAAACCGTAAACTAGATGGCAGTTAGAGAGCAAAAAGGGGCCTTTCTCCTCCGTTCCGATTCCTAGCTCTTCCCCCAAATCCGAGCCGCTGTTAGCAGTTTCTCTGTATCTCTCTCCACGCTTGTCACCAGCTAACCTGATCTGTCTTAAGATGCGTCCGCCAGGTCTTACGCTTGGAATTACATTTCTGGAATGAGCACAAGACAAATGAAACGCAGCCTTGGGCCGTAGTGGGCTGAAGTGACGGGCCCTGCACGGTGGCAGGCTCTGGGTTCCTGCCTTGCTGTCGGGCATCTCTCCACGCTAGCTCTCCAGGGCACAGCACACTGCAACCCCTTTACTAGAATCCCCGTGCACCAGCTTCCTGTTCAAAACCTGGGGTCTCCACGGAGGGCTGCTGACTACTGGTCCCCAGGAGATCTCCAGGCCACATCCATCTTGGCTTCTGCCTCGCATCCTGTGGGCTGCACCCAGGGTGCTCCCACTGGGCGACCCTGGCTCTCTACAGCGTCTTCACCTCTGCCAAGAACACTGCCTGGGCCCAACACGTCTCAGCTCCATGCTGATACCCAGTGACTGCTGCCCACGGACAGTGGTTTGTTTCGTGCCCCTGTCTGTTCTCTGTACTCGTCGTAGGCAGGGATAATCCAGGAAAACTGTTTGGTCTCTTGTGGATAAGGCGTTGCTGAGCAGTCAGCAGGTATTGGTTACTTACTTATTGACTGCAGACTACTGATTTTGCTACAAAATAAAGAAAACAGACACATCAAGCCACAGCAGCACCATGATGTACACAAAGAAGGTGCCACTGACCGGCCTCCCCGCTTCATGCCTGCCCCACTCTGGTCCACTCCTGCAAGGCACCGAGACCACTGTCACTTTTCAGGGCCTTCCAAACCTGTACTTGCTCTGCCCCTGCCGACCTCCACTTGTTCCCGAGGCTTACAGGGGTCTCTGGGCTCAGAGAAATAAGCCTGTTTGTGCCGCAGGCCTCCACCCTAGCGAGCTGTGGTCCCTGGCTTTTGGCCATTTAATCTCAGTGTAAACCTGCGTGTTCAGCAAGAACTTCTGGGACTACCCGTGCGTTCCCCACACCGCACCTCTGGCTGTGTCTGTCAGTCTCTGGCTGTGCCTGCCCGCCCCCCACCAGGTCTCTCAGCGGGAGGGACAGCACCACCCACTGCTTCCCCAGTGCCTGAGCCAGCCCCTGACGCTCCGAGAGTGGGCTAATGCCTACTCTTCGCGATTTCAGGAAGATCCTTAAAACGTGAACATTTCCAAGTCAACAGAGTTCTGAAACACCTACCGTGCCTGTCCACAAAACACATCGCTGCCCGGCATTCATCTGGAAAGCTGTGTTCTTTCCAATACCAACGAAATCTCACAGTGCTCCAGAATTATTAATGGCATCATACTTACTCTGGGAGCAGTTTGTATTTCTCCAAATCGATTTCTGGAAAAAACGTGTCACTTTCAAATTCCTGCATGATCCTTGTCACAAACAGTCTGAGATGGCCTGGCTGATTCATGGCTTCCTGAGAAATCAAACAACAGGAATCAGTTTCTTTCACGGAGGTCAAAAGACACACAAATGCTCTCTTTTTTTAAAAAGTTAATTTATTTATTTGAAAGAGTTACACAGAGAAGGAGAGGCAGAGAGAGAGAGAGAGGTCTTCCATTCATTGGTTCACCCCTGAATTGGCCGCAACGGCTGGAGCTGGCCTGATCCGAAGCCAGGAGCCAGGAGCTTCTTCCGGGTCTCCCATGTGGGTGCAGGGGCCCAAGGACTTGGGCCATCTTCCACTGCTTTCCCAGGCGACAGCGGAGAGCTGGATGGGAGGTGGAGCAGCCGGGACGCGGAAGAGCACCTGACTGGGAGGCCGGGTTGTAGGCGGCAGCTTTACCTGATCGGCCACAACAGTAGCTCCAAGCTCACCTTTCTTTAGGGTTTTATAAGAGTCAGAAACTTCTATTTTTAAAGGTGGAAATCTTTGGTATTAAGAAATATTTTCATTTTTAAATATTATTTCCCCTTAAGCTATGAAATCATGTAACTTTTGCCCCATGCACTCATGTTATGTCCCAAGGGCCGGACAGTGGGCTAGGCCTGGGCTGGCCTCTTCTCTCAGGGGAGCTGACAGATGGTGCGGTAGGACAGTTTTCACATTTACAGGTCACTCAACTTACCTTATACACAGAGCTGCCTCCCACTATCCAGACCATGTCCACTTTATCTGCCAATTCTGGTTCCTCAATAAGTTTTAAGGCATCAGCCAGACTCTTAGCGAGGAAATGTGCTCCTTGTGGCGGTTCCCTGAGTTGAAAAAGAGAATCATTTGTAGTTCTTGTAAAAGGCACCCATTCCAGTCAAATACTCTGAAAAGAGGTGACTGTGAAATAATCACACACACGGATCCTCGCGACAAGCAGCACTGCACGTCAGCACGGCCAGGCATCTGTACATTGACGGTTTACAACGAACCCAAAACAAAACCATGGGTGACATCTCCCAATAGCTATGTTGGGGAAAAATCGAGAGGCTGTGTCGAGGGAGCACCCTGGGGGTGATGGGTTACAAGAGGGGACGCAGCTGTCAACAATTAGCAGACGCACATTCAAGACTTCTGCATCTCACTGTGGGCTGTACTGTTCCCCAAAGAAAAAAGCGACGAAGAAACACTGAATTCTAGTTAACGATATTTTGATGTATTTAGGGAAAAATACAGTAATGTCAGCAAGTTATTTTGAAATGGGTAAGTAAGACGTTGGATGGATGTGTAATAAAGCACCTACAGTGAAGTTTCCTGATAGAATCCATGTGTGGGTACACAGCTGTTTACCGTAAAATTGCTTCTGCATGTTTGAAAAGTGACAGGATACAATGTTGGAAAGATATTCAGAACGCTAGTATGCGGTTAGCTGGGGCAGGGTCTTCATGTCTCGAAGAACACAGAACTGGATGAGCTATGTAAGCATGAGACTCTATTAGTTACACATTAAAAATCCCGAAGACAAAAAGCTTATTACGTTACGTGCTTGTGCTGTCTAGCCTAATCTCCACCAGCCTCCCTAAATGTTTGCTTTTCAGGGGGGCTGGGGTGGGGTGGAGGAACTGCAGTGCCCTTCAGAAAGGAGGCAAGGTGCTGCACTTGGCTTTCACGATTAGATACGAAAGAAAATCACAAGTCCCTGTCAAAGGGAGTAAGGATGAATCAGGCACTCGGGACTGTCCACTCCTGCAGACACACGGTCTGCCTCACTCTGACAGCCCTACAGGAGTTAGGATGCGGCCAAGAACAGACTTTGTGTCAGGCTGGAAGGGCGCCGAGGGCAAGGCGTCCCCAGAGAAGAGAGGGCAGTGGCAGGACTGTGCTAGATGACACTGTTTGGGAAGGGACTTGAACCTGGAGAAACAAGTCCCTGGAGCTGGGCAAGACAGGCCGGTTAGCACACAGACTACTGTGCTGGAGAGGGGGCCACGGCGGTGTTAGTAACTGAGGGTGCTGAGGTCAGCGCTCACGACAGGAGACAGAGCTGAATGGCAAACAGCGATTTCAGAGCTGACAACGAGGGAAACTGAAAGCAGTGTCCCAGAAGATGGCGGGCAACAGCGCTAGGATTAGGAAGGTGATACAAATGGTTGGTGTGGGCGTCAAAGGGGGAATTAATTTTGTGGAGACCGTGGAACAATGGCTTGGAGATGACTCGACAGGCCAGCAGGGGAAAGCTACTTCCTTGCCCTACTGTAGTGAGTGCAGAAAAATAAAACAAAGAACAGATTAAGGAAGAAATATGTCTGCAAAACACAGTTATTTAGGGCCGGTGTGGTGCACTGTCACGATGCTGCTTGGGACGCCGATACCCCTTATCAGCACACCTGAGTCCCAGGCCTGTTCCTGCACCCTGGAAGGCAGCAGGTGACGGCTCAAGGATCTGAATTCCTGTCACTCACGTAGGGGACCCAGACTGAGCTCCTGGCCCCTGGCTTTGCCTAGTCCAGTCCTGGCTGCTGCAGGCAACTGAGAAGGGAACCAGCAGGTGGGAGATCTCTGTGTGCCTCTCTGTCTCTGCCTTTCAAGTAAGAAAAAAAATGCTGCTATTTAGCAATTTAGAAATAAATTTCGGAAGAGATGGTAGACTCCTAGATGGGTAAAAAAGCAAAAGCGAAAGTGGAGCCAATGTCTGAATTCATCAGCCCGTTCACAGCACAGATCTGGAAAGGAACTCAGCTAAGAACAGACAGCAAGCGCTCGACACTGCGACTTCTTCACGGCTACCTCCAATCGCTGTCCTCTGGACCTGCTCGTGGGGCCGGGCCACGGCAGCCCAGGGGCGCGGCCATGCTGCACACTGTGTTTCTGAGCCTCAATCCCCAAGGAGGGTTTGTGCGAGGCTTCCCGACCCGGTGTGTGCAGCAGCCACTCCACTAGGATAACGTAATCTGATCGGCAGTCAGTAGGGACAACTGTTCCCTGCAGAAGTGAGGACTTTGAGGCTGAGGGGGTAGATAACCCCAGTGATTACTTGGCTAGGAAATGGAGGACTGGGAGGTGACCCTCGAGCTATGATGTTGGGGGCCGTAGCTGCTGCAGGCCATGGGCCCTAGCACATCAGGATGTTGGGGCCTAGGTCAGTCAGAGCCCTCTGACCTGTCTTCTGGCTCGTCTGGCTGCCCCACAGCACACGTGAGCATTATCCTGTTCCCCTGGTCTGACGGGAAAGACAACAGCCACGGCAGGAGGACTTCCAGCCCCACTTCCCTGCAGATTGTTGGGAAAACACTTAAAAAAAAAAAAACAAAAAAAAAAACAACCAAAACCCAAAGGCTACAATAGTATCTGAACTAGACCTGAAGCACAGGCTGAACTTATCTTTCACACTCAGTCTATAAAAATATGGTTTCTAACTATTACAAACAGGCTCAAGTATTATCGATCTTCATAAAGGAATACTATGAAGCCACTAGATATGTACAGAAATTTTCAGGAATCATCCAGGGACCGGCCATTCTGTGAAGATCCCAACCTCAGCTTTGCAAGGAAGAAGGATGATGAGAACAGAGAAACAAAAACAGTGTCTGCACCCAAAAAAGACCTCGATGGCAGGCAGAGAGGTTCCTGGGCAGTGGCCAGAGAGAGGGGCTGCACCCCAGGGCCCGGGGCCGGGGAGGGAGGCGACTTGGCAGGGGGCCTGCGCTGCGTATCACACAAGATAGACAGGCGCACAGCACAGAACTGACGGACCTCTCTGTGCCACAGCTGACGGCGAGGGTTACAGGACGTGTTTGGCACAGGGAGGCTCGGAGGACGGTGACGAGGCAAGAAAAGTGATCTGTGGTGAGGCTTAAAATGCCAGACAGGACAACGGAGCAAAGGCCAGGGTCGGAAAAAAGTGCTTAAGGGGGGGCTTCTGTGCAAGACCGAGGGGAGAGCACAGTGGTGGCACCGTGCAAACGGCCTGTTTGCTGTGACCTGTATTTGCTATAAGCTACAAGGGAGCCACGTTGAAGGGTAGCACAGGAGCTGGCAGCTGTAGTCTACCTTTGCTGTGCCAGGAACGTTGCATATAAAAGGGCAGTGAAACCTCACAATCCCCCCAAGAAGCCGTCATTATTAGTCTCAGCTAAGAGATACGGAAGCTGAGGTTCATCAGAGCTTACCCGTAACTTGCCCAAAGCCATAGTTAACAGGTGCCAGTGCAGGTAACAGAAGCTGAGTAAAGGGTAGATTGGGGCTGAGTGGATTAAGATGTCGCTTAGACATCTTCCCACCTAGCTCCCCGCTAATGTGCCTGGAAGGCAGTGGAGGATGGCCCAAGCCCTTGGGTTCCTGCTGTCCACATGGGAGGCCCAGAGGGGGTTCCCGGCTTCTGGCTTTGGCTTGGGCCCAGCCTGCACTTGCAGCCACTTGGGGACTGGACCAGCAGAAGGGAGAATCCCTCTCCCTGTCTCTTCTGTCCCTTGGGCATTCTGCCTTTTGAATAGATAAATAAAAACTGATAAAGTAGCCAGGCCAGTCAGTGTGTGCTATGCTGAAACACACAGGGGAGACTATGATAGGGTAATAAAAAATTATACCATGAAATTGACGTAACTTTCATGGATTGAGACAATTCTGGGTTTTGTAAAGATGGTGTCAAGGTTACAGCACTGCAGTGAAACCTCTTTAGTTTCTGGTTCCAAGGACTTTCCAAAGCTGCTCTTGAGAAAAAATCCCCCTTTCAAGTGCTGAGACTGGTGATTGTCCGCTATTCACCGATCTGTGCACCCGTCACCACACCCCTTCCCAGGACATTTCTGCCAAGCGACACCCTGCCCCCGCAGCGGCCCCTGCTCTCCTCCTCACCTCAGTTCTTTTAAACATTGCTCATTAAGGAAATGTCTGCCCCACATAACTAGTGTTTGCCAGCAAATTTTGGGTTACCTCCAGGGTTCAGTTTCTTCTCACATTGGGAGAGGGGAGCTTGTAGCTCAAGGGAGCTCCCTACGGACCTGTCAGTCCCAGTCCTGTCCAGGCCAGTAAGGGCTGGCACACAGCAGGTGCTTGGTGTTTGTGAACACCAAGCAGGGAAGCAGGAGGAATGACAAAACAACAACAACAACGACCCCAATTTCCTCTTAAATACTGTGGGGAGCAAACCGGACTAGACTGAGTTACTGGAATTAAGACTTATTCTATGCATCTGCTCTCCCACAATATGGCGCTGGGAGAGAAGTAAACAGCTTCCGCACAGCTGCCTCCAGTTCAACCAATAAACTGTAGGACTTGCTACTGATTGGAGGAGAGCAGCGTACTCGGCGTGTGGGCAGCCGAGTTAGGATTGGCGGAGGAGGACTATAAAGGAGGAGAGAGACGGCATGCACCAGGAACATCTAAGGGGAACATCTGAGGGAACACCTGTGCAGCCCCCCAGAGAGCCGGCCGGCGGTGTGCCGCTCCCCTGCGGAAGTGGGGAAAGTGGCAGGGGGAACCGCCCTTCCACGGAGGTGGAAGGGATAGTAGCCAACCCGGGAAGAACCAGCAGCAAACCCGGGGAGGGCCGAGCAGACAAAAGAACAGCGCAGGATCCTGTGTCGTTCCTCCACGAAGACGGGGAGCAACAAATACTATCACTAAACCTGAAACGCTTGATAAGAAAGACTTCATGTTTTCTGACACTTAAGAGAAAAGCGAAATCCACTAACAAGTATTATGCATCAATACATAAGATGCAACCCAACCCAATCACGCACGCCACAGGGGGTGCATCAGGATGAAATTAAACTCCTCATTTGAGCAGAAACGCTGGTTCAATGAACAGTTCCCTACTGAGATTTCTTTATGTTTGGTTGGCCCAAGCTAGCCATAAATAAACTTGAGTAGTAGTCAAGAATGTTATTAAAAAGTCCCTGGGAAGGGCAATATAGTCTTTGAATCTGGGGTCTACCAAGGAAAGAGATAATGAGAACACCCTAGCAACCAGGCGGACAGCAGCATGAACACGGAGACAGCAGGATGGAGATGGCGGGAGCACGCCAACCCCCGCCCCGTCTGCCGCAGGCAGCCAGGGCACTGTTCTGGCGCTTCCAGCTCCCTGCTCGGCTCTGCGCCATGTCGGGAGGGACTGGGGAGGACATCTGAGAAGCCGAGGGTTGAGTGATGCCTTCCCCTGCCGCGGTGTGTGAAGTTGGCCAGGCAATTGTCTCCAGTTACCTGGTTACCAGCTGGGTGCCACTGCCCAGGTGCTTGGTCCGTGTGCTCTTGTCTAACCACCTGCTGCCGCCCGACTGGGCTGCATTCAAAGGCCTGCAGAGCAGAGCTGAAGCCTCTGTGAAAAAGAAACGTCTCCTGCAGAACCTCGGCCCCTGTCGGAGAGCTCAGGCCTGCCCCTCCTGCAGATTTCCACTTCCTGCGCCCACTGTGTAAGCCAACTCTGCTACAGCGCCCTCTGATGCTGTCCTGCCTACCCAGGGAAGGAAGATTCCGCCCACCATTCTCAGGCACGTGGTGCCCTGAAACGCTGCCGTCTTTCTGGTGACTCCATGACCAGTTTAAGGAAGAATGATTACTATGCCCCTCCCAAACTTTCCCTTCATCTAACTCAGGTCCCCTGATCCTCCCTGCCCGCAGAGATCAGGAAAATAAAGCAAATAAAAGCAAATAAAATAGAAACCGGGATCTGTCACACATGGAGTAGGGGACCCGGATGTCCACGGGCAGGGGCAGTCTCACCGGGATCCTTTCCCCCACCCCACGCCCGCTGCCCTGGGACATTCTGAGTACCCGGAACTACCTACTCCGCAGAGGCCCACAGAAAACACTCCCTCACCCCGAACCACTTCGCTGCTTTGAGATGTTCCACCTTCGGACATTGGTACAACCTACTGTTTTGGTGCTGTGGTTAACCAGGAATAATAAAGCATGTGATTATGGCAAGTTGCAGCCTATCCTAAACCTGAAATCTTACTGCATTTGGGGAGGAGTCCAGAAAGGAGCTGAGCCCTATAATCCTGGCAAGTCCCAAATGTAGTTTGATTTCTAGGAAATCAGAAAACTTATTGGTTACGAGGTACAACTGATGTTGGAAACTTGCAAACTTGTTACCACAGTGAGCTTCATGGTCAGTGCAGCTTTTTAAGGTGATGAAATCAATAAATCACACAGCACAGTACACTGTCAGGAGGTGTGAGTGACAGCTTGCTCATTTCTTGAGATCACCTTTGTGACAGTAAGTAGCTCGCGGTGTCGCGCTGTCACTGTCTGATTTTCTCGGGAGTTTACGGGACTTACTTGAGTTCTCTACTGAGAACTATGTTGATTCTGTCCTTTAAAGGCCGATTCTTCTCTGGAATGGAGAACCAGGTCTTCCTCCCCATAATCACCAGGTTCTGTTTACCTATCAAATCACACACAGAGAGAAGCACATTTTGGGAATATTCATGTATCTTCATATATTATAAATTGATAAGACTGTCACAGTGACATCTAGTGGGTTTTTTTTTTCCAAGAAATGTTTTATTAACTATAGTGTATTTTTTTTTAAAGATTTATTTATTCATTTGAAAGTCAGAGTTACACAGAGAGAAGAGAGGCAGAGAGAGAGAGAGGTCTTCCATCTGCTGGTTCACTCCCCAGTTGGCTGCAATGGTTGGAGCTGTGCTGATCCGAAGCCAGGAGCCTCTTCCAGGTCTCCACGTGGGTGCAGGGGCTCAAGGACTTGGGCCATCTTCTACTGCTTTCCCAGGCCATAGCAGAGAGCTGGATCGGAAGTGGAGCAGCCGGGACTACAACCGGCACCCGTATGGGATGTTGGCGCTTCCGGCCAAGGTGTCAACCCACTGAGCCACAGCACGGGCCCCAAGTGGGTTTCTTTAAAAAATATTAAAACTTAGGGGCTGGCTCCGCAGTGCAGCAGGTTAGTCCTCCACCTGCAGCACCAGCATCCCATATGGATGCTGGTTCTACTTCTGGCTGCTCCTCTTCCAATCCAGCCCTCTGCTATCGCCTGGGAAAGCAGTAGAGGATGGCCCAAGTGCTTGGGCGCCTGCACCTGCATGGGAGACTGGGAATTAACTCCTGGCTCCTAGCTTCAGATTGGCGCAGCTCCGGCCGTTGCAGCCATCTGGGGAGTGAACCAACGGAAGGAAGACCTCTCTCTCTCTCCCTCTCACTGTCTGTAACTCTACCTCTCAAAGAAATAAATAAAATCCTTAAAAAAATGAAAACTTAAGCAGCTTTACCAAAATTCACATTTCTACACTCATCACTTAAACAGAGTCACCATTTTTTCTTTTGGCTTTATGCAATTTATATGCAGTATCTACCTTTAATCAACCGCAACAAGAGTGTCCATGTTGAGTGGATCTTGTCACACAGCATACAAATCTTTCACATTAATCCCTTGCATTTTCCTCATCTATAAAATGGAGGTAACAATTGTCACCATGCCTAGGGTTGATGTGGGGATTAAAGACTCGGAACCATACCCAGCATCAAGTCCGTTATAACCACGAAATCATAATTACTCATATCTGTGTGCTTAGCAGATTTACACTGATCCATACTCCTTTTCTATTTGTGAGGCAGAGACAGGGAGAGAGCAGATGAGACACATACGGACAGTAAGCTCCTATGCATCTGCTGGTTCACTAACGTCTGCAACGATCCTTGGCAGGGCCGAAGCCAGCTCACTCGTTTTGGTGCGTGCGTGACAGGAACCCAGTAACCCGAGCCTTCACTGCTGCCTTCCAGGGTCTGCATTAGCAGGAATCTGGAGTCAGGCGTAGAGCCGGTATCAAACCCAGGCATGCCAATACGGGTGCCCATTCCTGTCCCGCTTGCTCTGCTTCCGGTCCAGCCCCCTACTAAAGGCCTGCGAGAAGCAGTGGAGGGTGGGACTCGTGTTTGGGCCCCTGCACCCATGTGGGAGACCTGAATGAAGCTCCTGGCTTCTGCCTGGCCCAGCACTGTCCATTGTGGCCACTGGGAAATCCATCAGTAGATGGAAGATCACTCTGTCTCTTCCTCTATTTTTTTTTTTGGACAGGCAGAGCAGACCGTGAGAGACAGAGAAAGGTCTTCCTTCCATTGGTTCACCCCCCAAGTGGCCGCTACAGCCAGTGCGCTGCACCGATCTGAAGCCAGGAGCCAGGTGCTTCCTCCTGGTCTCCCATGCGGGTGCAGGGCCCAAGCACTTGGGCCATCCTCCACTGCACTCCCGGAAATCTTTCAACATAATAATACTTTTTTTTTTTTTTTTAAAGTCTACCCCTAACCCATACTTTTAAAACAGCTGTTTAATATTCTTAATTACCTTAAGACGTGTTCATCTGTGCCTCTATTCTCTTCCAAGTATAACACTTCTATGAAAATTCTATACACACAGAAAATCCACTTTTGGTTTTGTTACTTGCTGGAGACCCAGGTCTCTGGGTCAGGGGCAGGCATCTGGTGCAGGGGTTGCGACACCACTTGGGCCAGCTGCGTCCTATCCTGGGTTCCTGGGGTCCAGCCTCGGCTCTGCTGTTCACCCAGCTTGCTGTTAATGTGTACCCAGGTGCTTGGGTCCCCGCCATCCACGTGGGAGGTCTGGTCGGAATCCCAAACCCCTGGTTTCACCCTGGCCCAGAAGCAGCTCTTGGGGTCATTTGGGGAGTGAATCAGCGGATTAAAGATTTCTCTCTCTGCCTTTCAAGTAAATACAAATAAATAAATAACACTGACTAAAACAAAACAAGCTATGTGGATCAAAGGTTCGGTAAATACTAGGGCTTTTCCTAAGATTGTCGTGGGGTTTGGGCCAACCCTTTGCTTTGGGCTCCTGCCATCTTATCTCTGCCAGCGACCTGAGTGCCAAGTCCAGGGCCTTGACTCTGTCCTGGTGAAGCGAGGCCGTCTGCCCCTTCCCACCTTCCTGGTGCCCGGAATACTCTGCCGCTCCTCCCTCTGTGAACATAAATACCTTTCTCGGGTTTCTGACAAGGTATCACTCCACTCTTACACTGTTTTCTTTTTAAAGACTTATTTATTTTCAAGTCAGAGAGAGGCAGATGAGGGATCTTTCATGCACTGGTTTACTCCCAAGTGGCCCCAACAGCCAGGGCTGAGCCGGGCCAAAGCCAGGAGCCCAGAGCTTCATCTGGGTCTCCTTCATGGGTGGGAGGGACCCAGGGAGTTGGGCCATCCTCTGCTGCTTTCCCAGGCCATCAGCAGGGAGCACTGGTCCTCAAAGTCATCGTGGTTACAGTCATGCACTCTCTTGCTTTTTTCTCCACATCCCCTGACTCTGTAGCTGAAAACTGGGGACTTCACCCCGGTGCCTTCGTGGATCAGCTCTGCAGCGCAGAGTCCAGCGCTGTGGCACCGTGGTCTCGGCGGCTGCTCACGACGCTGGCACCCCACACCGGAACGCCAGTCAGAGCCCCGCGGCTCTGCTCCCGACCCAGCTTCCTGCTGCGTGCCTGGGAAGGCAGCAGAACACGGCCCCACTGCGTGCGCCCCTGCACCCAAGTGGGAAACCCAGACGGAGTCCCCGGCTCCTGGCTTCGGCCTGGCCCAGACTGGGCTGCTGCGGCCACTCAGGAAGTGACCCTGCGGATGGACGCCGTCTTTCTCTCAGCTATCCCAGATCTCCAAAATCGCCTATCATGTAACTGCTAACGCTTTTACGTTATCTTGCCTCCCAGCAGCCTCCTCTGGGCATCACTGGGGCCGAACGTTCATCGAAGCCACTGCCCAGCTCAGTACACGTGAGCTGGCAAAGCGTCCAGAAGGAAGCAAAACACGAGCGTGCGAGGAACCCTGTAGCTGTCCGCAGATCCCGGGCGAGCGAAGCCCGACATCCCGTGACTGCACGGCGGCACGAGGGAGCGCGGTCCCTCGGCCACCCCACGTTACCTTCCACTGACGACGTTGTGGTCATTCTCTGGAAATACCTGAATTCGTTCCTGCGAGTTGGAGAAACGCAGCGTTACTCAGGACGTCATCCGCCCGTGCGCGCGCGTGTGTGTACGTGCACCCGCCTCCAGTTCCACGCACGTGTGTGTACTTGTGTGCGCAGGTGCCCCAGGGCGAGGGCCTCGGCCTGGGCCAGGGCTCCGCGGGCGGCCGGTCAGCACTGCAGCTCCAGGGCGCGCAGGCCCGGCCCCCGCGGTCAGCCGAGTCGGCCGCTGCCCCCCGCCCCGCGGCCAGGACGAGACCCCTGCGCCAGCCTCGATCCCCGGCCCGGCCGGCCGGTACCTGAGCGGGGGCCACGGCAGGTCCCCGTTCTTGCCGATGCCCATGTTCTGCGACACAGCGACGATGCAGTTGAGCGGACGAACCATGGCGGCGGCAGACGACAGCTCCACTCGCGGACGCCCACACCCGGGGGCCGACCCCAGCTTGGCGCGAAACGCCGGTCGCCACGCCCCCTCACGCCCATTGGTGCACACGAGGCCCCGCCCCCGCCCCGGCGCACCGCGGCGTCGCGGCGTGCTCGCGCCCGCGCACGTCAAGAGGGTGGCCGCGCGCTCGCGCCCGCGCCCGCGCCCGCGCCCGGCCCCGTCGCCGCGCCGCAGCGCCCAGGCTTGCGATGCCTCGCGGGAAGCGCGCCTCAGGCGGCCTTGCCGCTTCCGGCCCTGCGCCGGCCCGGCAAGCGGTGCTGAGCCGATTCTTTCAGGCTAAGGAGAGCCGGAAGCCCACGCCGCCCGCCACTGACGCAGCCGAAAAGGCGAGCCCCGCCTCCGCAGCGCCCCCGGCGTCCACGTCCCCGCCTCGGCGGCCGCCGCGCGCGGGCAGTTTGGAGCAGGTCGGGGCGGGGCCACGAGGGGCGGGGCCGGGAGGCGACGGGGGCGGGGCTTGTGTGCGGCGCGGGAAGGGGCGGGCCGGGGAGGTGGCGGCGGGCGGGGCTTCGCCGGTGCGCCGGGTGCTGTAGCTCGCCCTCGGAGGTCACAGGCTTGAGGCCAGGGGTCCGGGTTCTAGTCCCGGTTTCCCCTCTTCCAGGCCAGCTCTCTGCTGTGGCCAGGGAGTGCAGTGGAGGATGGCCCAGGTGCTTGGGCCCTGCACCCCATGGGAGACCAGGAGAAGTACCTGGCTCCTGCCATCGGATCAGCGCGGTGCGCCGGCCGTAGCAGCCATTGGAGGGTGAACCAACGGAAAAGGAAGACCTTTCTCTCTCTCTCTGTCTCACTGTCCACTCTGCCTGTCAAAAACAAAAAACAAAAAACAAAACCAACGTTTTTTTGACGATGATTTACCGTTTTTAATGAATGCACCAAGGTTTTCCTTTGCACCCAGCATCGGCTGAAAGATTTCTGGATTCAGTGAGCTTTTGGCGGGTTTCCGGCTCACAAATGCTCAAACTCCCGGGTGGTCCCCCGAAGCCGTTTAAAGCGGGAGCAATTAGATTGCACTGAGTTCCGAAGTGGCGCCGGCCTCTGCCCTGCCCCTCTGACTTTCCCTGGCGAGGCAGACAGGTTCTGTGTGAGAGGGGCTGTGTCTCAGGGATGCGGGCAGAGAGATTCCCGTCTAGGGCTGGCGGGGACGCAGGCTGGTGGAGGCAGCAAGCCCCTGGCCTTGGTTTCAGTGGATCTGGCTGGGGGCTGCAGCCTCCCCCTGGTCTTCACTGACCGGGACAGCAGTCGGGCCGCAGGCCTGCTCAGCTCAGACTGGGCGATGGCCCCGAGGGTGGGGGGCGAGGATTGCTGCCCCCCGGGCGGATAGGATGACGCATCCTTTTCCTCTGTCCCCGATGCAGGCCGCGGAAGCTTCCAGCAAAAAGAGATCTCAGGAGCCCGAGGGGCCTGTGAGCAAGAAAGCGCGGCCTGTGGGGGAACAGGAAGGAGGAAGTGGCTCCGGTGAGTTGGTGATGGTTCCTTCTCCAGGCCTCACTCGGGCGGAGCGCGGGGAGGGCACTGGAAAGTGGTGCCTTTCTTCTTTGTGCAGAAACTCCCGTGTTGTGTCTGAGCAGAGGGCCCTGCCGTGTGTCGGTGGCCTGGAGCCAGGGTTAGGGGCTGGGAGAACTAGAGTTCTCTTTTTTATTGCCTCCAGCTACTTTCATTGTGATTTCAAAAGTAAACTTGCTTAACCATTTCAAATATGGAAATTTGGAAGGTAGACAGTGACAGACTTCACATCCCTCCTTCTCCATGAGGCCACTGCTGATTGTTTAGGGTACTGTGTGGTCTTCCAGATTTTTCTGTTTGTTACACATATGTGTATGGGTACACAGAGCTAAACCGGTTTGTTAATCATTGCATTGTACCGATCGCATTTGATGTACTAATTCGTTACTCTTTTTTCCACCATCGGAACATTTTGAACAGTTTTCAGTATCAAGAAATGCAGACCCCGTCCTCTTTTTTGCATAGAGCTGCCGTTTGGTGCAGAACAGCACTGATGAAAATGGCTTCCCGAGCTCCTGGGGCCTTGGAGGTGGTGTGGGGGTAGTGGTGGGGCAGACTTGGCTCCAGAGAGCGCGTGATACACGGAGGAGAGATCCGAGCTCCTGGGGCCTTGGAGGTGGTGTGGGGGTAGTGGTGGGGCAGACTTGGCTCCAGAGAGCGCGTGATACACGGAGGAGAGATCCATCTTCTTTCATTGTCCCTCGGAAATTAGGTGATGAGAATGAGAAAGGAAAAACAAGTCCTGACTGAGAGGAGACGCGTGTGCACTGGAGATGGTCGGCGCCCGCCCCTCCGTGGAAGGGAGTGCCACCGCGCCGGCCTGCGTTAGCTTTTCACGCAGGTTCCCCGCAGACTCTCGAAGCCCTTCTGTGACTGAGCAGGAAATTAGAGCTGGTGATCCCCTGGTCCTCCCCTCGCTGAGGAAGCCGGGAAGGGCGGCGTGACACCAGGAGTTGCCACCTGCTGGCGGTGCCGCCTCTCTTTGCTTCATTACTCTGCCCAGCCCTGACCTGTTGAGTTTTTCCGTGGATTCCACAGGCCGTGAGTGAGCACCCACTATTTTAAAAAGGCCAGGGGCTTTTAGCACTTCGTTTATGCTTCCCGAGAGCGCTTTGTGGAGCCAGAGGTGGGTGACAGAACGGGGGTTATCACAGCTGAGCAGCTTCCCCAGGGCCACACAGACAGTGGAGAGTGAAACTTGTTGAGATCAGGCAAATGCTGTGACGTGCTCTGAAGGCTGCTTGTCCCATGGGGCCCTGGGAGAGCGGAGAGGAGGTTCCACTGGCTAGCGGCTGAGCCCAGCTGCACCTTGCTTTTTCTGTTGTTTTAAACACCACTGATATTAGGATCGAGTTCTGATACTGTACGGTGCAGCAGCTGGCAGTGTCTCTCCGGGGCTGTGTAGCGACCGCCACAGTCAATTTCCAGCATGTTCACCACCCCAAAAGGAAACGGTGCCCACCATCAGCCACCCGAATTCTCCCCTAGGCCAACCCCAGCCCTCAGCAGCCGCAAGCTACCATCTGTCTCTGTAGGTTTGCCTGTTCTGGGCGTGTTATTTGAAAGCACACAGTATGTGGTCTTCCGTGTCTGTTGTGGCATGCATTAGTACTTTGTTCCTTTTTTAAAACTTTTACAGTTTTTTTTTGTGTGTGTGGTAAACTGCACCTGACAACATTTACCATCATAGCTGTTTATCAGTGCACCGTCCAGTGGTGTTAGCACGTTTATGTTACTGTGCTGTCGTTAGCACCGTCCAGTTCTGAACTCTTGGCACGTTGCAGTGTGAGCCTCTGTCCCCATCTCCGCCTTCTGCTCTGTCATTCTGACTGAAGTGCGTTTGTTCCTTTTTGTTTCTGGGCAATATTCCGTGTGTAGATCACCTCAGTTCTTGACTCCTCAGCTGGCAAATTCTTTCTCACACTCAGCATCACAAAAGAAGGAAACTTACATATTCACAAGCAAATTTATATAAACTTGAAATTGTATTTTGAAAACCAAGGGAATGATATTCACCAGGTGAAATATACATAGGAGAAATTTAAGGGCCGACACTGTGGTGTAGGAGGCTAAACCTCTGCCTACGGCTCCAGTATCCCATATAGATGTTGGTTCGAGTCCCGGCTGCTCCTCTTCCAATCCAGCGCTCTGCTATGGCCTGGGAAAGCAGTGGAGGATGGCCCGAGTGTTTGAGCCCCTACACCCACGTGGGAGACCTGGAGGAAGCTCCTGGCTCCTGGCTTTGGATCAGCTTAGCTTCTGCTGTTGCAGCCATTTGAAGGGTGAACCAGTGGATGGAAGACCTCTCTCTCTCTCTCTCTCTCTCTCTCTCTCCCTCCCCCTCTCTGTCTGTCTGTAACTCAACCTCTCAAAAAAAAAAAAAAAAGATTCAAAAATACATTTTTAGAATAAGAGAAGTCACAGTAAATAAGATAGAGTACATATTGGAAGATTCATATATTTATAAGGGAGCCACAGTATTCCTTCAAAGATTCTTAGCTGTCAGCCTGTGTGACATCAAGATTGTTTCTTATTTATCAATTTTTTAATGAGTAAAGCAAAGGAAGTTTATTGAGAGAAAGAGCTCCTGACAGCTGGAAAGGGACCTATAATGGGTTGCTTGTTTTGTTTTTTAAATTATGGATAGTGTATTTCCCTAATACGTGTTTTTTCCCTGTGACTACTTTATAAGATTTTCTGTTTGTTGCTGGTTTTTGCACATTTGATTTTGATGGGCCTTTGTCTAGTTTTTTTAAATTTTTTTCTTTTCTAGTTTTCCTTCCTTCCTTTCTTCATATCTTTCTCTTTCATTTTCTTCCAATGAACTTCTGCTGTGCCTGTGACTTTACGCTTCTCATACAATTTGGAAACTATTTTTGGCCATTATTTTATTTTCTCTAATTTTTTGTCCCCTTCCTTTTCTGAGAGTTTGTCATAGGGACATTAGACTACTTGATACTGTCTGTCAAGCCCCTGAAGCTCTTCTCATTTGCTTTAGAGTCTTCTCCTGGCTCTGTTTCCAGTTCAGTGATGTTGTCTTCCCTGGTGTGACGTGCCGTAAATCGCATTCTGTGAGATGTTCCTTTCAGATAGCGTGTATTTCATCTCTGGAAGTTCTGTTTCGTTATTTAACAAGCCCGAGGATGGCCTGGGCATTCGGCTTCCAGGGAAGATCTGGTTGAGGTGCCTGTGTCGGGCATTGGTGTAACTGTTGAGAGGTTGCCTGGGACTCCTGCCTTCCATAGTGGATGTCCTGGGGTTGAGTCCTAGCTCCACTCTTGATTCTGTCCTCCTACTGACGCCCACCCTGGGAGGCAGCAGGTGATGGCTCAAGTGCCTGGGTGTCTGCCACCCACATGGGAGATCTGCATGGAGTCCCTGACTCCTGGCTTTGGCCTGGCCTAGCCCTGGTTAACCAGCTGATGGAAGATCTCTGTGTCTCTCTGACTTCCAAATAAAATGAAAATCAATTAAAAAAAAAAAAACAACTAAAGAAGA